ATAGGGCGCGTGCACTCGCCAGACAGAGACAGAGAGATAGAAAGTGAGAAATCACCCCCTGGGGGGGGGGATGGCCACGCCCTAATCCCTTCTCCTTCATTCTCCTCTCGGGATCTTGGGCGCACACGCACATGCGCCTAGAGTGAGTTTAAGCTACCGGGTCTGGGACTCAAACCGCGGTCGACTACGTGGGAGTCCAGCGACATAGCCATTACGCTAATTGCTGGTCCCTCTAGGAATATTCTTATACAAATAAAATGCCAAACAAGTTATGAAGAAAAGCACAGGTTTTAAAAGAAACTGCCATGCCTTTTTTTGAGAACTGCGGACAAGAGAATAAACACTCACATATCCTATTACACCATCTGCCCTCCACACGGGTACGTCCACCTCCACGGGCATCCACCAAATATCCCCAAAGACAGTGCACACAGGCAGAATCCATATCCAGTCATCCACACAGACTCACTTGGGACCACCACAAATACCCTCCCTCTTTTGTGCTCACTAGCAGATAAGCCAGCCCAACGGCTGTGTCTCTTAAATACAGAAACACACCATTCAAATAAGAGGGAGAAAGGCCGCTGGTTCCTTCCATGTTGTGGAGGCTTAGCGAGAGGAAGAGGGCAAAGAATTAGAAGCAAGAGTAAGTGAAGTCATGCTCAGTTAAAACTCTCTGCATACAATGGATGTTTAATAAGCGCTAGTGACCACAGCTGCTAGTGGGAGCCGACAAGAGCAAAGAAAGAAAAACATGACAAATGGTCAGCACTGATTAAAAGAGCAGCCTATCCAGGAGTGAAGAGTGCTTAGATCACCCCCAGCTGAGGGTCTGGTATCAATGGACAAGGGAAAGTCCTCTGAAAGCATGCAACTTACCGATGAGCATTTCATACATGATCACCCCCAGCGACCACCAATCACAGAGCTTGTTGTACCCGGTCTGCATGAACACCTCGGGAGCAATGTAGTCGGGAGTGCCTACCGTAGAGAAGGCCTGCAACACGTACCACACATCAGGGAGGCCCAGCCAGGCAGGGGGTGCCCAGAGGGCTATGTGGTCTCAAGAGACCAAAGGCTAAGAACACCACCTGGAGCTACCCCAAACTAAACAGCGGGACTGCCGGGAGCTTTTCCAGAATGAGTAACACAGCTTTGTTAATGAGGTGAATGGCTTTTCCTAAATATACCCAAACCTGTTCATTCACCAGGTCAGAGGGATCTCTGTCCTAACAACTACTGGTAGTACCAAGTTACTGCACCCCCTCTCAGTACCAGGCTCCGTACTTCAGAACATGTGTGTGAGCCGATTAAACCCAGACAAAAATTCCAAGAGGAGGACCTACTTAGCTCACTTCTGCAGATACAATTTGATGCCCAACACAGTTTTGCCCGAGGCCTCAGAACTACTAATATTAGGTGGCAGGGCCCAGTTCTCAAATCAATATATATAGTAGAAAAAGGAATGATTTGCAGCAATTTGAGAAAATCATAAAGAAAAGCTGTTTTCAAAAGCAAAAGTTATAACCTATAAGTCAAACGTTTATAAGTATTTATTTACCAAACTTAGTCATTTCCGTGAGGAGTTCTCAGAGGAACATTTGCTAAATTCCAGTATTTTACTCTAATAAATCAGGACTGCCAAGGATTAGCACAGTGCAGGCAAAACCTTCCAATGTGCTTAACTCAGCAAGGTGAGCTTCCAGTCTGGGTGCTCTGATAGTATCTAACTTTTAAAATGAAAAATTCTATCTGTATTATCTTTGAAAAATATTTATTACGAAATACTACAGGATGCAAAGCCTAGAAAATAGAACACACGTACCTATCGCCCACAATAAGGAGAATAATAATCTGCCATATTTTCTCAGGTCATTTGTCTTTTTAAAAGAAATTAAACTACATGACCAATTAAAGTTCTCCACCTTTTCTTCCCTACTGAAGTTAAACACTGCTCTTACAGGAATATGCTCCTGATAGTACTTTCTGTATATTTAAACTTTGAATAAGAGTTTCGTACTATTCTGCATTATTCTCCATTGTTATAACTTGCTTTTTTAACTTAACTCAGAACTATGGTTTTGAGATTTATTCATGTAGCTCTGGCTCATTCACTCTTCTGCTGTACACTGTTCTGTTATCTGAGTAAGTAACACTTGCTTTTATCCATTCTTCTGCAAATGGGCAACTCCTGCTGTTTCCAACTTTTCACCATGCAAATAAGTAACACCTGAAAAGTATTCTTGTAACACCTCCCTGGGCACTGGGCAAGACTTTCTTCCTTATGCTAGAAGTAGTGTTGCTGGGACTTGGGTTGTAACATCTCACTGTAACGCGCTGTCTTCCAACTGTCCTCCAAAGTGGTTATTCCTATAAAAAGTAGTCCAGTGGGGATGTGCTTCTAAGATTCCACATCTCACTAACACATGGCTCTGTCAGATTTTAAAATTTTTACCAATCTGATGAATATAAAATGGAATCTCATTTTTTAAAGAGGTTTTTGCTGTAGGGTGTGTGTGCTTGCCAGAGAGACACAGAGACAGAAAGCTAGAAATCACCCCCCAGAGGGGATGGCCATGCTGCAATCCCTTCTCCTCTCGAGATCTTGGGCAAAAATGCACATGAGTCTGGCATGAGTTTAAGCGACCGGGTCCAGGACTCGACCTGGGGTCGACTACATGGGAGTCCAGCGACATAGCCTTGACGCCAACTGCTGGTCCCTGGAATCTCATTTTAATTCCCATTTTCCTTACTTCTGGTAAGGCTGAGCACATACTCATATGTTAATTAGCCACTCTGTTCTTTTTTTCTGTGATCTCCTATTCAGATGCTGGGTCCGTAAACTCTTTTAAGTGTATTACTTTTTTTTCCTTACTGATGAGTAGAAATTCTTTATGAACTCAGGACATTATTCCTTCAGTTTTACATATTGCAAATATCTCCTCTCGGTCTGAGGCTTTTTATTTTTAAATGAAGTAATATTTTTCACATACCAGAAATAAACACTGTACATACACAATTATGAAGCGTAACAATGAAAACGAGTATGAGTTCACCTGAAGAACAAATAATAGCAATGTCATTAAAGCAGCCTCCTGTCTCCCCTCTTAATCATTATGCTGAATTTCATGCTTATCATTCCGTCACTTTTAAAAGGAAATTTGGCCACATCTCTCCAAATGAGATCTTACTTCATTTTCCTTAAGCTTTAAAAAAAGGGCATCCTTCTATTCTGCTGGCTGATCTTTCCATTTCTCCATCCTGTTGGGATTTCAGACCTTCACAAGGACCCAGCATGTTTTGCAAGTCACAGGAGCCTGGATTCAAACCATGTAATCAGCTATGTGGGATTCAGTTCCCTAAATCACCAGGCCACCGGGTGGGCCTTTACCTTTGTGGTTAATAAGCTGACTCAGACCTATTACCTAATTAGTTACTGGGGCGCAAGGTTCCCAGGATGACATAACAATCTAAAACATTGCAACATTTTTTAAGCAGCCAAGGAGTGAAGCTAAAGCATCTACCTTTTAAAGTGATTCCCAGTAGACTGAAAAGTAACAGGCTGGGCAAGCAGTTACTCATATGTTAGGCTTGGGCTTAATCTAAGGCAGTCAATTTATATTACGCACTAACTAATACCAACCTTCAGCTCAGTACTGCCCCCACTTACAAAAGGTCAAAATAACACAGTTACTCAACATTTAGAAGACTGAGAGGTAGCTTTCTTTTCCTCCACTTATGAAAAATGGTAATATGAGAATGGATTTAATTTATATTTTCCAATTTCTACTATAGCTAGAATGAAAAGGCAATAATCTTAACTACAGCATCAGGGCCTGAAGTTTATTCGGACTTTCAAAACACTTTTTAAACTATTAAGTGACATTTAACTCTAAATATGGGGATTGCAAATTCTCCTTACAGAACTGTAAATGGTTGCTAGTAAGTCTAACACGATCTTTCAGTGCATGTCAAAGGCACAATGTCTGTCTTATAAGGACAATTTAAGGTTGCTAAGTTTATTATCCCCAAAATAAATGTTATCGCCGTAACCAAAGACTAAATCCTGGTCTCCTTTAAAAGGAAAAAGAAAAAGAAAAAACATAGAAACCTTTTATTAGTTCCAAGAGATAGATAGAGAGATATCAGTTTCTCAATGGTGCAGGAGCTATTACTTGAGATATGGTCTCTACAGTGAAGGACCTTAGCATTCACTGCACAGCAGAATCAGTCTTTTAAAACTCAATTACGCAGGGGCCAGCAGGTGGCGTGGTGGTTGGGCGCTGGACACTCCCACGTGGCCAAAAACGGTTCAGTCCTGGACCTGGTGGCTTGCTTTCTCACTTTCCCTCATTCTCTCTTTCTCTCTCTCTCTCTCTGTGTCTCTCTCTCTCTGGTCAAATTAAAAGAAATGAATGAATAAATAAAAATAATTATAAAAAAAAAAAACCCACTTCAATTACACAGACTACACCCCTTAGCGACCAAAATCAGAATCTCTGGCGGTAGGACCCAAGCATGTGTGTTCTAAAGTTCTCCAAGTGATTCTAATAAGCAGTCAAGGTTAAGAACTACTGTTCTACAGAGAGACATAATAGAAATATTATCACCACATTTGTTCCTGACACACCCTACCCCTCCACTAGCTATTAAACAGTTTTAAACTACACATGGAATTTAGAAGTTTAAATAGCATCAGAGCTGCTAACCAGATCGTGTTGTGACTAACTGTATTAAACTTAAATACTCTCAAGTTACTATTGGAAAAAAGATTAATTTCCATTTCTGCATCTCCAAGGTGTTTAGTTTAAGTTAATGCCTCTCTCTCCCAGTTCAGGTTTAATATAAAAATTCTAATAGTCAAAGCACAGTCTGATAAGCTTCAAATAAACCAAAATAAATGCAAGCCCTTATTAGATTAAAAAAATCCCACAGGCAGGGACCATCAGTTAATGTAATGGCTATGCTGCTAGACTCCCATGTAGTCGACCGTGGTTTGAGTCCCAGACCCGGGGGTTTAAACTTATGCCGGGTGTGAGTGTGTGCGTACCCAAAATCCTAAGAGGAGAATAGAGGAGAAGGGATTGCGGCCTGGCCATCCCCCCTGGGTGGTGATTTCTCGCTTTCTGTCTCTGTCTCTCTCTCTTTCTGGCGAGTGCATGCACCCTTATAGTAAAAACCTCTCCAAAAAATAAAATCCCAAAGGCTTCCATTTTCACAAATTTACTCACCAATGACCTACTGAGTTTTTAAAGAAACTACAGAAGACTCTAAATCAGTATTTTATTAAAAAGTCTGGCTGATGGGACCAGCAGATGGCCGTAATGGCTATGTTGCTGGACTCCCATGTAGTCGACCGTGGTTCGAGTCCCAGACCGGATGACTTAAACTCACGCCAGGCACATGTGCGTGTGTGCCCAAGATCCCATGAGGAGAATGGAGGAGAAGGGATTATGGCGTGGTCATCCCCCTTAGGGGGCAATTTCTTGCTTTCTTGTCTCTCTGTCTCTGTCTTTCTGGCAAGTGGATGTGCCCTATAGCAAAAACCTCTCCAAAAAATTTTTTTAATTAAAAAGAATAAGTAAATAAATAAAAAGGCTGGCTGGAACACAGTATTTTGGGAAACCTGTCAAGTTACTATTGTATTGGAAGAGAAGACGTGCTACCATTTCTCCATAATGCTCATGAGCGATCATCATTCCATGTCAGTCATGGCTTTCTACTACTACTATCTTCCTTTTTGAAAGGTTTTGCCATAGGGCACATGCACTCACCAGAGAAAGACAGAAAATGAGACAGAAAATGAGACATCATCCCCCAGAGGGGATGGCCACACCACAATCCCTTCTCCTCCATTCCCCTCCTCGGATTTTGGACATGCGTGTCACACGCCCAGTGTGATTTTCAAGCCGCCAAATCTGGGAATCAAACCACGGTTGGTCATGTGGGAGTCCAGTAACTTAACCATTACATCACCTGTTGGTCCACTATTCTTTTTTTTTTAATAGTCAAGTGTTAGTTTGAATTTACCATCATGACATTTCATTTGCAATGGGTTTTTGGCAAAGTCCAAGCATGCAGTAATACACATTTCTATTATCTGGTCAATAACAACTTGACATTGGGACATGTTATTCTTCAAATGTCAGCGAATTAACTATTGTTTAAGAATAAGTTTGGGGCCATCAGGTGGCATGGAGGTTGAGGTTGCTGGACTCCAACATGGCCGACTACAGTTCAAGTCCCAGATCCAGTGGCTTGCTTTCTCACTTTCTCTCTCTTTCTCACTCTGTCCCTCTCTGTTCAAATTAAAATAAAGAAAGTTAAATAAAATAATTCTAAAAAAAAAAAAAAGAATTGAAAAAATGAGTTAGTTTTACTAGACAGCAATAGTTCACAGGAACTTGTAATATATAATATACTCAGATACTTATGAAGTATTAAGTATTTCACTTATATTTCTCTCCAATTTTTATTACCAAGTTTTTCTTTGTTTTTTTTTTCCCATCACAAAGTTAGAAAAAGGTGAGACAGAAGAACAGAATAATCTTGACTTGCCTAAGCAGATCATAATAAACAAAACTTTGAGCACTAATGCCTAAAAGCTCTAGGGAGGTGCTTAGTTTCATTTTGAGAGATTTCCAGCTTAAATCTAACCCTTTTCTCACAATAAAAACAGGCAAAAGTAGAACAGGAAGGAAAGGTATTGTTACCAAACTAAAAGGTCAGAATGAGGTCACCTATTGAAAACTGTCACAAGTGAAACAACCTAATATTATCATCTGTCCTCCTTCAAAAGACTCCTTTTGGTGCTACCAACTTAATGACAGTGTTGTACTTAGGTATTCTTAAAAGCAATGAATATGGAGCAAAAATTTACCAGACACAGGAATTTTTTAAAACTCATTCATACTTGGTCTGCAGCATTTCAGAAGCCACAGACACTACTTACTAGCTGACGTCTATTTCTTTTCCAGGTTTCTGCTTTCCTTTTGGAGTTCATGTTCTGGAAAGCTAAAAGCAAAGAAAACCAATCAAAGTTTCTAATCAAAGTTCAGACAGGAGTATTTACTAAGTTTTTCGGCTCTGGGTCAGGTCACCTGAGACGTAAAGTCTTCCTTTCCTAACCACACACCTACAAATGAGGACAACAGATTTCCCAGTAAACCCATAACCCAAATCAGAGGCTCTAAAGCATTAACTCAAAGAATGACCAAAGTGAACCAGAAAGGATACAGGCCTTAATCAGAATTCTCAGTCAGAAGCAAAGATCCTGAAGTAGACCTAAAACATTGATAATTCCTCAAAATTACCATCAAATTTCCAAGAGTGTTAATTGTTATATACTCTGAATTTATGATACATTTTTTTTTTTTGAGAGGTTTTTGCTATAGGACGCGTGCACTTGCCAGACAGAGAGAGACAGAAAGCGAGAAATCACCCCCCAGGGGGGATGGCCCTGCCGCAATCCCTTCTCCTCCATTCTCCTCTCCGGATCTTGGGCACATGCGCCCGACTTGAGTTTAAGCCACCGGGTTCGGGACGCAAACTGCGGTCCACTACGTGGGAGTCCAGTGACATAGCCATTATGCTAACTGCTGGTCCCAATGATACATTATTTAATATAAGCTTTCCTAAGATAATTTTCCTATGTATAATTTTACTATACATACTTTTCCATATTTCAATAGTGCTCAAGTGAAAATAATCCTCAAAAAGATAAATTTTGGGACCAGCAGATGGTGTTAACGATCATGTCGCTGGACTCCCACATGGCTGACCACAGTTTCGAGTCCCAGACCTTGCAGCTTGAAACTCACACTGGGCACGTTTGCATGCATGCCCAAAATCCCAGGGGGAGAATGGAGAAGGGACTGTGGTGTGCTCATTCCCTCTGCGGGGGGAGGGGATGGTGATTTCTTGCTTCTTGTGTCTCTGACTCAGTCTATCTCTCTGGCAAGTGCATGCACCCTATAACAAAGTAACTCTCAAAAAAAAAAAAATGAGGGGGCCAGCAGATGGCGTAATGGTTATATTGCTAGACTCCCACGTAGAGGACCACAGTTCAAGTCCTGGACCTGGTGGCTTAAATTCACAGCAGGCATGTGTGCATGCGTGCCCAAGAACCCAAGATGAAAATGGAAGAGAAGGGATTGCAGTATGGCCTTCCACCCAAGGGGGTGATTTCTTGCTTTCTCTCTCTCTCTCTGTCTTTCTGGCAAGCGCATGTGCCCTATAGCAAAAATCTCTCTTAAAAAGGAAAAAAAAGGGGCCAGCAGGTGGCATGGTGGTTAGGGGTGCTGGACTCCCACATGGCTGACCATGGTTCGAATCCTGGACCTGGCGGCTTGCTTTCTAATTCTCCCCGTCTCACTCTGTCCCTCTCTGCTCAAATTATGAATAAATAATGTTAAATAAAATAATTTTTAAAAAAACGAAAAGAAAGAAAAAAAGATAAATTTCTTTATACCATGACAGAAATATCTAGAATACATCTAATCTGGAGCTGTTCCTAGGACTTTTACCCCATTACTTTTGCTTGCCTGCCCCATACTCACCCACCAAGTAACCTTTCCAGAAGTTCTAAAAAAAAGTTGTCTGTGACATACTCCTTAATGCATTTAGTAGCCCTCATCTTGTTCATCATACAATACAAATCACAGGCAAACTTGGGAGGGATTTTTTTTTTTTTTTTGTCTAAAAACTGATGCTGTGAGAATCTCCTCTCCTACATACCTTGGTTCCAGAAAAACAGCTCTTCTAGGCACAGTGAAAAGAACAAAATGTCTACCATCACTGTTAACACTTACTGAAATCACTGGGAAGACTGTGGTTCAGATTCCTATAAAATTCTGTCCTATGTGCTTTCTTCAGTCCTGTGCAAAGGCCAAAGTCAGAAAGTTTCACATGGCCCTGTAGGGAAGAAGAAACAAGGTGATAGATGGACAAACACAGATGCAGAACAGAACGTTATCTTCTCCTGCCCCTTCCAGTATCCATTACGTCGCTACATCAAGGGAAGATCACACCTCTTATGAGCCAGGGGCCACATCAGCCCTTTGACTGTACTGTCTCATTTGTAATCTTAAGCCATACAGGGTAGACTTACAGTCGTTAAATGGCTTGCTGCTGAAATAGCAGAACCAAAGTAAAAATTCAATCCATGCTCTTTCCTGGCATGTATCTAGTCCTAAGAAGTATGTATCCTTGGGGTGGTGAAATTTTAAATAACAGGAAGGTGAAACCAAAAACAGAAGAGAGAATTCTGATGCTCAGGGATCTACATTGCTCAATTAGAAGTGGCAAGTCAACTGCGGACTGGACTGGAGTCATGGACTCCATGGGAGTCCAGCGACATAGCCATTACACCAACTGCTGATCCCAACTTTAGATTTTTCAAAGACAGCAAGAAAGTTATCAAAGACATCAAGGAAGAAAAATACCCTAGGATTAAATTTACTTTTCTACTTAAAGAAAAGTTCAGTCAAGACAACAGTTCTGCCTAACAGAACATTGCATTTTAGAATTTTAGAGCTGGATGGAATTTTAGAGCTCCTCTAGATCAATATATTCATTATCTATGTAAGAACAGTACAGACGGTCCAGATGGTGAGGAGATTTGCCAAGGTCTATCCAGTAATTCGGGTAGCAGCGTAGGGATTTCTCTTCTAATTTATTGAGTTTAGACACTGAGCAACTATGCTTATTTGCATGTCTGAAGATAGTTACAGGGGCCAGCCAGTGGCAAAATATTTAAGGCACTGGGATCCCACATGGCCAACCACAGTTCAAATCCCAAACCCAGTGGCTTGAAACATGCCCAAAATTCCGAGGGGAGAATGGAAAGAAGGGATTGTGGCATGATTTCTCACTTTCTGTTTCTCCAGCTCTCTGTCTCTCCAGCAAGTGCATGTGCCCTATAGCAAAAAATCTCTCTAAAAAAAGGAGAGTTATAAATTGGCCATTACAGAAGCTGAGAAGGACTCTCCTTTAAGTAAGGACATAATCTAAAATCTGGACTTTATGACAAGGAGTAGCTGTCGTTTTTGCCTTACTTCCTATCTCTTATCTGGTTCCACATTAACTGATGAAGTTGCCCAACAGACAGCCTCTGGAGAGGCAATGCATTTAGCAGTGTAGTTAATTATATGCTAAGGAAAGATGACTACCTTTGGCTTTATTATAAAATAACCCTTTAAATCAATTTTGCTTTTGATTATTTTCAAGAATTCCTTTATTTATGTTTAATTAATTTATTTATTTTTTAGTTTTTTGCTACAGTACATGTGCAAGCACTCACCAGAGAAACAGCAGAGAACATGAAAGTAAGAAATCATCCCTCAGGGAGGACAGTCATGCTACAATCCATTCTCCTCCATTCTCCTTTCAGGATTTTGGGCACACAAACAAACGCCCAGAGTGATTTTCAAGCCATTGGTTTCAGGACTCGAACCGCTGTTGGCCATGTGGAAGTCCAGTCCCTTAATCACTACTCCGTTTGCTGGCCTCAAATGTCCTTTTATTACTTTTTTTTTAAGAGAGGTTTTTGCTATAGGGTGCGTGCGATCGCCAGACAGAGAGAGACAGAGAGACAGAAAGCGAGAAATCACCCCCCAGGAGGGATGGCCACGCTGCAATCCCTTCTCCATTCTCCTCTTGGGATCTTGGGCACACACGCACACGCGCCTGGTGTGAGTTTTAAGCCACCGGGTCTGGGACGCGAACCACGATCGACTACATGGGAGTCCAGCAACATAGCCATTATGCTAACTGCTGGTCCCATTACATTTTTTTTAAAAAAAAAAGAATTGTTTACTTACTTTTATTTATTTACTTATTTATTTTTAAATATTTTTCATTTGTTACAGGGCACATGCACTCATGAGAGAGAGAGAGAGAGAGGAGGAAATAAAGTGAGAAAGCCAGCTGCCAGATCCAGAACTCAAACCATGGCCAGCTTTATGGGAGTCCAGCCTCTGAACCACCATGCCGACCTGCTGGCCTTGTCCTTCATTTTTAAGAGAAAAATGCCAACCAAATTATGGAATCATAAGCCTGTCAGGGAAAGAAATTTACCTGTTAAAAAAGAGAGAGAAAAACATACGAGATAGATCACTGCTTCCCTACTGTGATTAAGGCAGGTGTCAAAGCAGGCTGGGCCCAGGCACAGAAGGCTAGAAGCCGTATGGGAGATGTGTGTTCAGGTCCCGGCCAACCTAACACACCTGGTGGCTATACATACCTGTGAACCTAGCTAACTGGACGGCTGGGGCAGGAGGACCACAACACTGCAATACGCTGTCAAAAATACCTCACTTTCGGGACCAGCAGTTGGTGTAATGGCTATGTCGCAGGACTCCCATGTAGTTGACCGTGGTTTGAGTCCCAAACCTGGTGGCTTAAACTCATTCTGGGCACATGTGCGTGCCCAAGATCCCGAGAGGAGAATGGAGGAGAAGGGACTGCAGCGTGGCCATCCCCCCCGGGGGTGATTTCTCACTTTCTGTCTCCTTTGTCTCTGTTTGTCTTTCTGGTGAGCGCATGTGCCCCATAACAAAAACCTCTCCAAAATAAATAAATAAATACCTGTCTCTCTCTTTTTCTCTCTACATCTCTCTCTCAAGATAGGGAAGGGGAAGGGGGAGCAGAGTGGCTGGGATCAGTAACAACATACTACTCATGCTACCTTCCATAGATACCTTGCTGTCCAGGAGAAGGTTGTCTGGTTTGATGTCTCTGTGGATGAATCCAAGTTGGTGAATGGAGTCTATAGCTAATACTGTTTCTGCTATATAAAACTGAGTCTCCTCTTCTGTCAGAGTATCTTTTTTCATCAATAAGGTCATCATGTCCCCTGGAAACAAGAAAATACAAAGCCACCACACACACACACACACACGCGTGCGCACACGCACACACACACACACAAACAACATATGAGTAAGTACCAGTTTTCAGACACGTCTTCTTTATCTGCCATCCTAAAGCAGCTGAACAAAACGCTTGCTGTGTTCCAGAGAGGGACCCACATTGCCAGTATAGGGGGGGAATGTCAAGTCACTGTTTATAATACTTAAAATGTAAAAAATCACAGCACAGAGAGCAAAGCACTTTCACATCTAAGCTAACTGACACGGACTGCTAAGCTGAGATTTCCATCTTTTGAGGGGAAAAAAAGGAAATTTCCCCCATGCCTAACAAATTTTAAGAAGTATACTTGTTTATAGTAATTTTTTGGACTAGCTGCTTTACTTTTCACTTTGCACAAATATCTGCACAGTTTACGTCTAGAACCAAGTGGCATTTCCACATGGGTTGTAGCACCACGGATATGAGGCTGAAATGCCAGTACAAAATGTAAACATCTGGGGAGGCTGAAAACAAGCTTTCCAATTTCTATGCACAAAACAACAGAACACAAAGGGAAAGGTAGGACTTAGGTAGCAAAGTACTGGCCAATGAAAGCTAAAAATAAACTGGAAATGCTTTACACTGCCTCCCAGAAGTACACACTGAATACTTGTCAAGATTAGAGACTTTGTTTTTCCTCTAACGTCTTATCATAAGTATTTAAATGTATACTAGTACCTTTTATGTAGCTTTAAATACATATTATCAGTACTTGAGCAGTTAAAAGGTACCCTCCTCAGTTTTCTGCAAAGTAAAATTTAATTATTCCTGTTTAATACTAGCAACATAAAAGGCAGAAAATAGATTCAGGTGCTAATTCAATAGTGAGGCAAAAGCAAAGAAAATATATGTAAGTAGTTTAAAGCTAAGAGAAACAGAAAAGATTCAGTTTACACCTCTTATTACTATGGTCACTATGTTATTATGGAAAATGAGAGGAGAGAGGCTGGCAGGTGGTGTGGTGGTTAAGGTGCTGGACTCCCCACATGGCTAACCGCAGTTCGAGTCCTAGACTTGGTGGCTTACTTTCTCACTTTCCATCTATTTCTCTCTTTGTCTCTCTCTGGTCAAATTTTAAAAAATAATAATAAGTAAAACTAAATATATAATTCTTAAAAAAAAAAAAAAGAAAACAAGAAGAGATAAAGCATTCTGATGCCTTTTGAATTTCACTTTACTTATAACTTTAACTTTTCATATTCTTGGAGAAAAGTAGATTTTTTTCCCTTACACAAAAATTAAACCATTCAGGGCCAGCAAGTGGCAAAGTGGTTAAAGCGCTAGATCCCATGTAGCTGACTACATGGTTTGAATCTCAGACTCAGCGGCTTGAAAGACACAGGGGGCACACATACATGTGCACACAAAATCCAAGAGGAAAATGGAGAAGCATGGGTTGTGATGTGGCCATTCCCCCTGGGGCATGATTTCTTACTTTTCCTCTCTCTTTCTAGCAAGTACACACACTCTATAGCAAAAAACTACCTAAATAAAGTAAACCATTTATTAAAAGCCCTTTTTGGGTCAAGAATTGAAAACTATAATTCCCTAGTGTCTTAGCAGTCATTTCATCTGGAGGCACACCGGTGACATGTGGGCAGTGCACTCAGATCTACACCAAAGGGGCCGTGTGGCCTCAGCTCTGTGGCCCAGGAGGGCAGCCGCTGGCCTCAAATGTGCAAGCTTGTCCGCGTGGCCAGAGAGCTTAGGCCAGACGGTCTGGAGCTCTGCAGGCCAGCTCTATGGGCAAAGGGCAGGGTCTGAGAGACATAAGAACTACGTGACATGGTGCAGGGAAGCCTTAAGGAGACACATGTCAAAGAGCTGGCGACCAAGCTAAGCTGGCTCTTACTCCTGTGTGAGAACTCACAGCTACATGTTTTCCCCATTCAACCAGACACATTTCTAACCTTGATCAACTGTAAACAAAACATACCGATGACCCTAGATCTAAGTGAAGAAGGGAAAAGTTTTCTTTCTTGGTTTTCACACCAGAGTTTGCTCATAGGGAAATAGACTGTGTTCCCCAGAATAGATATTATGTCCTGCCCTGGGTTTACTCTGGAGCTGTCTTAGGAGATACACATGTTGCTTATGTAAAACGTGAAATGAGAAATTGATTCTGGCTACTAATTACATAATGAGAAATTCACTTGTTAATACTGGGCTGCCAGAAAAGTCATGACATATTTTTTTCTGTTTTTCTATCCAAAAATGCATCATGACTTTTCTAATAACCCAATATAAGTTATAGAAAAAAAAAGTGAAGCAAAGAATAATATAGCTTAAATTCTGTCATGTGGGTAAGTTATTATACATAATTCCCATTGATAGCAAAGCAAGCAGAGTCCCAACTTATTGCTATACATTTACAAAAAGAAAAAGAAATATCCATTTGAAATCATGAGAATGAATGAAAAGGTTACTTTTATGGCACTAAAATTATAGAAGGGCACCCCAGCAAAAGACAGGTTACTGACCTCCTTTAGAGACCTAAAAAGAGATATAGAAAGCAACTTTGTGAGCACAATTAAAAGTCGAAAGAAGGGTTAATTGTTGATGTGAGAGAGAGAAACCACAGAACAAAAAGGAAAAATGACCTTTCATTGTCAAGTAATTACCTCCAGGCAGGAACTCCATGATTAGGTAGAGGTTTAGCTTATCCTGAAAACTATAGAACATTTTCACAACCCACAAACTGTCTGCCTCCACTAGAATGTCACGCTCCGCACGAATGTGGCCAACCTGGAGGTATATGCATTTGATTAATGACAAGCCTTGCTCTGCTTTATTTTCGTTATTTGTTTAAACAATTTAAATTCTGTTTTGAGTATAATTGTGATGATGCAAAAGATCTAATTTCTACTTAGACAAACCTAACTCAAAATTGACAACATTGAAGGTATTTAGTCAGTGATGAAAACTTTAGTGATGAAAGATTTTTAAAAATAGCTAAATTAATGACTTCAATGCAAACAGTACTATAAACTGATCCTCTGATTAGTTAAAATTATCACTCTTTTGTATATATTCTTGTTCTAATTAACTTTTATGATAAAAATAAGTCCCAAAGGTAAGACTCTCTAAACAGGTCTACTGCAGGCACTGCCATGACAGTGCCCTGGTCAACCAGTTTAGAATACCACGATGCCACAGCATTTAGTTCACTGCTGTGTTCACAGTATGCACCCGGTCAATTCTCAATGAACTGACAATTAAGAACCTAGGGAAATTACAGATTCGAATCAATGACATTTCCAACTTTCTACTTCTAGTGAAATATCTAGCTATGGAGACCATGTCATAGGAGGTTTGAGGAAACTGGTAGAATTACTTTGTTAAAATAATGCTTTATTGTCAAATCTACATTATTTAAAATATATAAGAGTAATAAAACATCATTGTATGTTATCAAACTCTGCCCCCTCCCCTTTTTTCAGTGTCACAAGATCCAAGGTGGGTTGAATCAGTACTGAATTTGTTAAGACCCAGCATAATCCTTGAACAGAGGTTTTGGTCCTAATGTATGTTACAGGTCCTAATTTTATACAGTATGTTCTGAAGCAAATGATGTACCAAGGTTCACAACTTCAGCCAACAGTGGTTGTTCCATGTGATACATGTTCTATATGCCTGCTTGTTTTACTGGACTGTCTCCAGCCAGGCAGGCACTCTTCCACTTAGACACATAACACATCCCACACCTCCGTCTTACACCTAACTGCCTCATTCTTCCAGGCTAACTCCAAGGGGCCTGGAGGCATCTGAAATGACATACTTGAGTTTTCAGTCTCTACTATAGTTCCTGTTTAGGTAATTTTTTAATACTTTAAATGTTTCAGAAAACTTATATTTTCATATCTACATTTATGGTACAGGAGTGGGGAAAATGGATGAAAGGATGATAAGGAACAGCGCTATAAAACCATAAAGTAGGCAAATAAAGCATCTGTTCTTACTTGACCTTAACATAGAAGCCAAGCTTTGAGACAGGAATACTACTTGCTGACCTGCTATGACCCGGTCATTATCAGACATTAAGACTGCAGAAGGCAGATTTACCTGCCCGTTTCCCCTGGCTCCCACTGAGGTCCCTACCTACTGCAGGGAGCTAGAGAAAAGGGAAGGCACTGCTATTATCACTGTTACTCACGCTGGCCTTCAGAACAGTGGCTACGACATTTCCTGTTTGTCAAGGGAGAAGCTTCTCACTGTGAGGAACCTCAAGATCTAGAAAGGAGTCAGTTGAATTTAGGGTAAGGGAGGGATGAGCTAGAGGTGCAGCTCACACCAAAA